AGTCAGAGCACAGGCCCAGAAACCCAACGCCGCTGTCCATGGTGCTGAACTAAAGAGCAGCATGCACCGGCCTTGTCACACAGGCACAATACAGAAGCTAGGGTGTGATAAAACCACTGCTTTAATGGACACACATCAACACTGGCAAATATGACGTGAGTGGATTAGTTAGTGGACTAATTAGATTGTGTTACACTACACTACATATGCAAAAGGGCTGTATGTTGTAGATAGATTCTTTATTGTCCTTTCCAGGAAATTTGTTGCCACAGTCTGTACATAATATCATACATACACACACAACATTAACACAAGATAGACATCTAAACACAGCACATTTGTACATACATTCAGGTATTCACACATAATGGCTACTGGGGAGTTTTGTTGAGTAATGCTATGGCAGAAGGGAAGAAACTTCTGTTTGTGAATGTCTGTGGTGTGTTGTTTAAAGCTCAGTTTATTGTCCAGAGTGAGTCCAAGGTATTTGAAGCACTCCATCATCTCAACAGCTTCGTTATTGATGCAGGTGGGATTGTGAGTGGAGTTGAGGTCTGTGCTGTGGGTGCTGCAAGTTTTAATTAACAGTTCTTTCATCTTTGTGACGTTCAGCTGCAGATAGCTGTGCACCACTGTGTTACAGTGCCACCTCTGACAGTTTGTGGTCTGTAGCTAAGAAAGCTGTATACCCAGTGGATGAGGAGTGGGGGGACAGTGTGTTTCCTGATCATATGGTGATGGTTAATAGTGTTGAATGCAGAAATGAAGTTGACAAAGAAGTTACAGAGTGATTGAAGTTGTTGTAGGAGGGAGTGAAGGACACATGCCACAGCATCCTCAGTCTCCCTTTTGGCCTTATAGGCAAACTAATGGGAGTCCAAATGTGGTCCGACAATTGGAAGAATGGAATTGAGTACCAGTTTGTCCAGACACTTCATTACTGTTAAGGTGAGTGCGATAAGCCGGTAGTGGTTTAGTTCTGAGGGGTGGGGATTTTTGGGCACCAGTATGACAGTGGGTGTTTTCCAGAGGGTGGGTACTGAGGCAGTCCTGTAGGATTCCCAGAAGATGGACTAGAGAATCAAAGAGAGCTCTGTGGCACAGTCCTTCAGGACTCGGGCCTAGATGCCATCCGGCCCCTGAGCCTTGCCTGGTTTGCACCGTCTCAGCTGCCAGTGCACATCCTCCACAGGTGCAGGCTCCTAAATGGGGAGGGCCTCCAGTCGTGCCATGCACCAGATTGAATTGTCAATCTACAACATCTAATGATACTGAATAATGGAGGCTATACTCTTGAGGACAATGACATAAGTAGCCGTAGGAATTATAACTGTTGTCTGTTGCTAGCAAAGGAGGAAAACACGTTTTTATGGAGTCAAAGTCAGCAGAAGCAGAGGGTGTGGGTGGTTGGGTGGTCCACAAAAACGTGGGACTTGGGTTTCTTTCCTATTTCCTCTTAAAAGTCAACTTAAAAACCTCAATATCTTCCTAAGCAAGTTTTGTTTGTGCCTACACCTAAAAAAAGCATTGATCACATCATTGTCACATCATAAAATAGATTTAATTTTCAACAGTGATTTGAAGGCACATACAAATGATGCTGTCCTACTGGTAGAGGTTTCAAATTAGAAGTGTATCATTAAGAAGAGCAGTTACTAATGATGTATTTTGTCCTTTAATTTGGAGACAGAAGCCCCTTGAACCCATGTCCATAGATGTTGCAGATGGGGGTCATATGCAGCATTCCACAGTCAAATCTGAAACCACATTGGCGATACCGTACATGTGCATGTCAAGTGACGAGAATGACCTGTCATTTTTCTTTTTATGTCTTGGTTTAGAGGTTACTGCTAAAAATGAGGGAGGTGTCCAATGAAAAGAAAAAGAACAAACATCAAGAGAGAAAAATGAGCTGCCAACCAGCAGCAGCAATCACCAGCCAGCAGGGATGGGATGGACGTGAAGGTCGCCTGCATAGTGGACACAACACTGTACACTGCTGATACCGTGAATACACAACATTTAAACCCATATTTGCTTACAGTAGATCTGCATTATGGAAAATAGAGGATTTCTAGCTCAAATACTGCAGCTGTGTTTGTGGCCATTAAGAAATGACAGCTGACCACAGATATAATGGATATTCAACTGTTGAAAAGGAAGACTTTGCTGGTGGTGCAATAAGCAAATCTACTGTGTTTCTCTGCCAATCTTTCAATAGACAGACAGACAGAAAGACAAACAGACAGACAGACAGACAGACAGACAGACAGATAGACATCCACAGGCCTTTGGACACACACACACACACACACACACACACACACACACACACACACACACACACACACACACACACAGTGTTATTGACTAAATCAACTGGACAAAATGTGCAGCAAGAAAGGGACAACATGCGCAAAATAATACCAATGCACCAAACTAAGTTATATGGACAAAAGGTTGTTAGACACCAGCTTAATGCAGCTTTAACCTTGGAAAAAGTTAGTTTTATAAATGATCTTTCAATCAATATGGAAATGGTATATAATATTCATAGGTATGTTTTCATTAGTGTCACATTAGTTTCACCAGAAAATAAACGGTTGGGTTTTTTCGTTACCCTAAAATAACTAACACTAGTTTTGCGCCCATCATATTGTCTCCTGCAAACTTGGACGGTATTCAGTTAGTTCCAATCTGCAACTTCACCGCTAGATGCCACTAAATCCCACGTAGTGGTCTTTCAATATATAAAAAGTAAGGAAACATTTAAATATTTTGAATATTCTACATAAAACATTATAAATTAAGAAGGATTCTACCAAGATTCTAAGACACAGGAGGACAAGCTTGGACCAACAAGTTTAAACAGCATCTGCTTTGCACTGAAATGCAGCCTGGGTTTAGTCTCAAACAGAACAGGTGTTACAGTACATTCACAGCCCAATTATTATACATTTAAAGTCACACTCTGGATCATGTATACATCAAACAGCAATATACTACAGACAGAATGCTACAAGACTAAGATGGCACCCATGTTCTAGAAGAAGCAAACCCAAATTAGACTACATCTCTCCTCTCCTCCGCTTTCCGCAATATTGAATAAAGTTCCCTTTGTTTATCTAAAGAGGGGGGTGAGCGGTTGAAAAGACACAGTAGTAGGTTGAGCTACTATCCTCGCTAACTGAGTTTTGGCTGTGCAGCTTCTCCTGCTTGCTCCTGCCAGTGCGGTACTTGTAAACTAAGTGTAATTTCACACATTTGAGGTGCCAAGGTAAGGACCAAAATGAAGCGTGTTCATTTAGAGCCTGGCCTCCAAAAAAGATGATGTAAATGTCACTGTGTCTTATGTAATTTGTAAACTGTGACAGCAATCCTGCATTGGCGGTAGCTGTGGTGAACTGGTGGCATTTATAAGCAATGAGAGTTTCTCCCAACAGTCAGGGTTATTTTAAAAAGGTATAGTCTGTGATACAGATCTTAAAAGAAGAAGAAAATAATGATCCATATTTAGCAGTGTTTTGTTCAGATTTTTCTGAACAAACTCTTTTAGAGAACTTCAAACTACTTGAAAAATGTGCAGCCCTGAGTGGAAAATGACTGACTCATCTCTGCAAGTTTTTCTCAGAGGCAGGGCTTTCCACGTCAGAACTGCTGTACTAGTCTTAACTGAAAGTAAAGACGGTAGTGATTGTTCCCATACAGCATGCTTCATCTCCAGTGAACATCAATAAATACTATCCAGCTTCAACAGACGCAGATGAAATGGGTGGTGACTTTTTAATGCTTCACTTTGCTAAAGACCTCCTAATTTCATCTGCTACACGAGTGGCTGACAGCAGCTGGATTTGCGGTTGCCCGGCAACAGCTAAATGACACTACCAGGGATTATGCCTGTGCAGGGGTCTCAGAATAACAGTGAGAGGTGCAACGTTTCTAAGCCTGGAAAGTGGAAGCTGGTAATTGACAAAGTTATCATGAACCTTCCTGGAGTCACTGCTATGTGAACATCAAACGTTGCAGTTGACATGAGATAAACCGATTCTGGCTCCTTCAAGTGACTTAACTGAAGCATTATTTACTCAGAGTTATCTATTTTAATATTTAGAATCAGAATCAGAATCAGAATCAGAATCAGAATTGGGTTTATTGCCAAGTAAGTTGTACTCCTTGTACATGTACAAGGAATTTGCCTTGGTGCGTTGGTGCAGAAAAATCACACAAAAATAAAGTACTTTTTAAAATATAAATAAATCAAGATAAAAATAGAAAGATCTAAACTGTACAGGAAAGATATTTACTATAAATCTGCTCCTAAATTTTATTCTTCCTTGGCCCATGCTACACCCTTCCAACAAGTTTCATGAAAATCGGGCCGGAATTATTTTCATAATTCTACTGACAAACAGAAAACCAAACAAATGACACCAAAAACATAACCTCTTTGGTGGAGTAAATCAAAGACGGTGCAGGATTTCTTCTTTGCTCGCGGTGTTGTGCAGCTCCGCAGCAATGCACCTAGTACTGCCGCTGGTAAAGACATCTTTCAGGCTACCAGATTGGACATGTTTACCACTTGGTGAGTATATTTTCAACATTCTTCTCGTCTCCAATTTTGATGAGTTGAGTAATAATATTTAATAGTCTGTTGCAGAATAATTTGATTTTTTGTCTTTTTTTTACTTTTTGGTGCATATCACAACTTACAGATGGCTACTGGAACTGATAGAAGAACCAGGACTGAATGTTATTTTGATCCTCTGAAGAATTTCCCTACTTTTTTGGCTTGGCTCGGGTTTTACCAGCCACTGGCAGATACTGTAAATATTCAAGTTCACTCAACAGTAAATCTTTATTTTGTGTCTAAAATCAACCAGAAATGTATAGCATTTGGCTGGGATTAGGGCATTTGGCAATACTTGCATACTACGAGACATGCCCGTCATTGTGATAAGAGATTTTATTGGTAGAAGTAGGAGTAATTCTGGTGGTCCTACCTTAGCAATGGTCTCATGGAACTTGAAAAGTGGATCCAGTGTCTCTGGTAACTCAGCAGAAAACTGGGCCTCTGACAGGAAACTGGTGGCCTGAGGTGAAAGAGATAGGAAGAAGCAATTGTCAAATACGACCACACCAGACCAGTATCTTTTTAATCTCTGTCTCCTGTCTTCTTAAGTCAAACCCTTATTTCATTGAAAAACCTTTTTATTTTTGTGGAACCATGTGAGTCCAAAGTCCAGACTGGAATGAAACAAAGCTTACCCCTTTTTCTCTTCACTTTTCCAATCCTTTCTATTCTACTTTGTCCTATTCTATTCTAAGAGTGGTAAAGAATGGAGTGACCTATCAAGCTTTTGACAGGAAAAAACATGGCTCTTAAGGCCACAGGGCTGCCATTACGTTTTGTTCTGCTGTCAAATACACAACATATACAGTGTACATGTCCCAGATGCTGACACACAAACACAACCTAAAAACTACCTGTCCCAAAACAAAGCATCACTCATTGTGACTTTAAAGTCACTGTGCTGCCTTTTCCTTCCATGGAGTCAAATTAAGGAGTAGACAGATAAGACTAGCAGAGGTTCAAACACTCAATTTCTGCTCAGCGTAGCCTGGAAATTAAGAAATATCTAACAACTCCAGTGTATCTTACTAGTTTCAGACATTCTCATCCTGCATGGATTGGTGAAGTTTAGAGTTTCCTGATGAACCCAATGATAATGTACTTTTAACATGTATTTGTTGTAAATAGGCTTATAATGTGTGTAGTATCTTTTTAATATTTAACATACCTTCTGAAAACCAGACCAAGACAAATTCTATAAAAGTCCAATCATTAATTCATTCATCCTATATGAAATTCTGCCTCCCGTGATGGAAGACTAGGTGTTGCTAGACAGCTGGGTTTCAACTGGAAGTTGAGTTGCTCTCAAGAGCTTAGAAGTCTCATTTTCTACAATATCTGTACATGGCAACTATAGTATGGTTATGGTTAGGGAAAGATTGTGGGTATGGCAATTATACTATAGTTGTTTCTACAGTAGCTGAGAACGGACAAACCAAACATGGGTTCTAGAAAGGGTCTTTCACGTTTATTGCAAGTTTCACTATAGTTTCTCCCACAGACTTGGAAGGGGAGGGTGAAGCGAGGGGCTTGTAATCTGGAACTGCACCGATAGATGCCACTAAATCCTATAAACACTGGTCCTTTAAGGTAAAGGAAAGATTATGTATATAAATTGTGTGTTATAGTGGCTGTGGCTCAGAGGCAGAGCGGGTCGTCCTCTAATCGGAAGGTTGTTGGTTCGATCTCCGGCTCCTGCCGCCACATGTCGACGTATCCTTGAGCAAGATAATGAACCCCAAATTGCTCAAGATGCTGTGTATCGGTGTGTGAATGTGTATGAATGAGTTAGTTTCTGTTTGATGGACTTTGCCATCACTGAGTGAATGTGTGTGAAAGGGTGAATGTGGCACGTAGTGTAAAAGCATTACAAAGGCGCTATACAAGTACAGGTCCATTTACCATTTACCATCTTAATATGCTACATCCCATTCCATGCCCAGAACTTTTTGTCAGGTGCAGAATCATTGAATATGAACATGGATATGTGGCAGATTTTTTCAGTGAGTAGGGTAATATGTCACATTTGTCAATTTCTGTTTGGAAGATAAAGAAGAATCAATTAACTTAGAAGATATGAAAGTATCCTGAAAACCATGGGTGTTGCTACAAATGCCTGACACCTGATTGTGCGTTTACTAGCTGGGAAAAATGTTGTTGAGCCTTATGATTGTTGAGTTTGAACTAAGCAGAACTGTGATTAGCAGGGTGTTTTATATCATTCTCATCATCATTCAGAAATTGATTGCCCAAAGTTCTTGAATATGTAGACAAGCTAAGACATGCAGCTTTCAAGTCACTCGAATAAAAACACTTAAAATTTAAAGGAAAAGGTTAAATGAAAAGCAGCTAAAATGTGGAATGCACCTAACCAGCAATCTTAATCAGTCAGTATGGCAGCCGCAATATGGCCGCATATGGGGAATAGAAGTTTTACTTAATAATTCACATATTTACGCATTCCAAGATGGCACAAGCAGAAAGTTTTATGAAGCCTTTTTGTGTGCTGCCTCTGAATAAATATGTGAATTATTGAGCGCAACAGCTGCTTCAAAATATGCCCCTGATGTCGATGTCAAGCTGAATATGTGCAGCGTTCCCCAAAAAGAAGCCTCACTGCCTACACTCAGAAGAGAAGAATTAGAATCAAACACATGGTTACATCGGTGGTGCACTCTCACAAACCATTGCTTCAAGGGCTATTTGAACCCAAGAGATTTCTGCAGCTGTCAGTCTCTGTGGTCAAGCTGTTCCTCTGCAGCTACTTATAATGATGAGTGGTTTAAAAGCTGGCCATGTTGACGAACACAAATTTGGTTAAAAGATAAGTTGTGGGCCCTTATTGAGACTTTATTTGTAATTACTGAAGCTAAATGCAGTACTTTTTTAATATTAGTTTTTATGTTACTGTCATGAACACCATTCCCAATAAACAGTAGACTGTCACATGTTAAACATGGCTGCAATAACAGCAGGGTAGAGAAGGCCAAATGGTGAAACAACAGCTGAAAGTTGAAAGAAATTGCATTAGAGATGAGTGTTGGTGCATACCATGGATGGATGAGACCATCTTACAATAACTTTTTTGTATGCAATCAAATTAATCTTTGTTAAAGGCATACTATGCAGGATTTGCTACATAAAGAATGAATGGGAGAATGGGAGAATGAGAGGGAGCGACAGTAGTGAAAACAATGCAGAGAATTAAAGTTATTTTCTGATTGTTCCAGAGTGTTTTTTCTCTAAAGCACAAATAAACAAAGCCACACCTCCGCACAACCTTACAGGAAGGCGCCATATTTCTGAATTTTGTGTGAATGATGTGTAGCTTCATCCTGACCTGACCGCAAACCCTGCATGCCGCTATTTCTTTATCTAAGAAAATGGATATTAAACCGGAGGATATGCTTCACTCATTCAGAAAGATTGTTTACACAAAAGCTCAATGAGAAATTGTTGAGTTACAGAAGCAAAAGGATTGTCAGACAGCCCTATGGTGCTCTATATAGGGGAGGACAGAATTATTTGGACACTGTTAAGATAACTGCCAGAGAACAAGATGATGTTTTCTCCTCTTGAACTACTAACTGTCAAACTATCTGTACAGGATCAGGGAAGCTATAACGCGCAGAAGGGACAAGAAACAGCAAAGAAGTTGCATCAACTGTAACATCATGTCATTTAAAACAGTTATATTCAATATTTTTATGATATTGACAATGACAATATGAAACAATGACAAAGTGTGAAAGTTGTTGCTTGTAGTGATGAACCTACAACGAATTATGATATGAATCTGCATTGCCCCGCGGTTTTATGGAACTTTATAGTTTATTGCCATTCATTGTTTGACTGTCCTGCAACAACTTCTTGGTTTTGGTTCACGGCCACAGCAGGCAGCTGTTTTCAGAAAAAAAGCTCTATACTGTCCTGCTCTGCACCACACACACACAGTTGCTGAATATTTCACATACATTTGCTAAATTCTGTTCGATCATACTGGCGGTTATGGGTGTAGGAGTGCCCTGAGAAATGGTCTTTGAAAGCTAAACAGCTAGAGGCGACCACTTTGTGTTGACTCCATCTTTGTTCATAACTGCTCTTGCATTGTGTGTGGCAATTAATTGCTTTACCTCTCCCTCTATTGGAATTATACACTTGACTCATGTGTTCATGACAAACGTCTCTGAAGTCCAACACAGTGAGAAAAGGTTTGTCCTCTGTGAATCCTGTGTACACTTCATGTTATTTTCATTTTACTTTTACATATTGAATACAACTACACACTAAGCCAATATAAACATGCATATTAATTCATAATTTCACATTAACTCTGAATGATAATGTGGCTCCGTAACTGCTGAATGTGTAAAAACAAGTTGTTCTCAACTTACCCTAAATGTTGTGTTACAGCAAAACACAGTTATTGCAGGCTTAAAGTACTGCTTAATGGGAGTTTCTCCCATCCCCATACTGGAAATAGGCCATGCCCAGACAGTGAGTAAAACACTGCTTGGAGCTTGGGTTAGCAAGATTTTAAAAATGCTGAAAAGTTGCTGGTGGGTGCCAGTGACAGGTGATACTTTGCAGAAAAAGAACACTTGCCAATACACCCCAACACCTCCACACTACAGATATAGGAATGGAGAGCTGAATTCAAAGCATAGACTGCACCAAATTTCACAGGGATTGTCTCAACACCTAGGTTGTCAAAATAATTAGAAAATTCCTATAATCACATTAAAATTCATTTCCCAGCGACATTACATGCTACCAGTGGAAAATATATTGCTATAAGAAAATACACACACACACACGCACGCACGCACACACACACACACACACACACACACACACACACACACACACACACACACACACACACACACACACACACACACACACACACACACACACACACACACACACACTACATAAACTCTCCACAGCATCCACCTGCTCCCAGTATGCTACAGGGCCATCAGCCATGGATACGGGGTGCTAAGCAGCGGGCCAAATCAAGCACTCTGTTCTGATCTTCACAGAGCCAGGATGAAGGGTTTTGGAGAGCTAAAGCCTTAAAACAAAGACAGAGATAAAAGATACCAGAGTTCCATTCACTTTGTACTTGGAGGCCTTTGTAGCGCTTATCTACCACTCACCTCATCTTTCCCAGTACAGACCATGTCTGTGCCTTGATCTTAGGCTTGAACTTTCTCTCCTCGTTCTTGCTGGATGATTATCATTATTTGACAAAAAATACTATCATGGATTTTTATCAAATCAGCATTTTGATGAATTGGAAGATTGAAAATGGTTATTTTTGAAAACATCACATAACAGTATCGAGTGACAATACGTGCATGCTGTGCAAGAACATGTTTAATGAGGGGTTAATGAATGAACATGAGTGCACATGTTCCTACACCACCACAGATGAAGCATTCCCACGATGATCTC